ATTTGTCTTAAGCCACTTGCAGACATTTTCAAGATCACATTTGAATTTCTCCTGAAGGACATTTGAGCTTTTAGATGAAAAGTACAGCACAGTATCATGTGTTTGATATAATATATTATAATTTACGCTTTCCTTGCCCAAACAGGACAGAAAATGGAAACTCTGACTGGTCATACAACAGCAGTGACATCAGTAGACTGGAAGAAAATGTCCAATGGACAGCTGATATTGGCGACTTGTGCTGATGACAGGACAGTTCATATCAGAGATGGGACAACATTCCAAATGAAGCATTTGCTGGACACTAAAGACATTCATGGCTGGTACACACTAACTTACTTGAGCCTCAATCCTTTTGGACAGTGGTGTCTCTGCTCAACACAGAATGGCCGCTTGGTACTATGGGATTGCATGTCTGGCGAAAGGCTCGGCTGCAGGAAAATGCATGCTGGGTCTATTGAAGGATTAGTGTGGAATAAGGATTACAGTTTCTGCGCTACTGTTAGTTGTGATTGTGTAGTGAACATGTTCCGCGTGAATGGAAAACAATACAAGTTGTGATAGGGATATTATAACTAGAGAATTGTCTTCGTGGGGGAGTATGTAGGTTTTCTGGAAATACCCAATTTTAATAGTGCAACAGTCATTTATGTTAATAGCTAATCAATGTTTTCTTCATGTGCAATAGATAGCCTGTTCACAGACGTTGTTAAATTTTTCTTTTAGTTCTTTTCGAAAACATCGGCGAGCTCGTGAGCAAAGTGAGCACGCGAGAAATAGTGGGTGCGGCATGTATATACATGTGCGTGCATTTGATCAGACAATATCAGTTAAATTATACTGTATGGCTTTCTTTGCGAACTAGCCTGTTGACTGCCCCTTTGTTTTCTCTTCAGAAGTTATTGAGGGTGCCTATGAAAATAAAAACTGTGGGTGGTTTATTGACCTCTAGCACAAGGGGGTGGAGTGGGTTCCCTCCCCGCACAACGCTTTTGTACATTAGCTTGCATTTTCTTGAGCATTTTAGTGAAGCAAAAGTATTAAGCATTATTTGAGCATTTCAGTTGTGAATGTTAGCCTTAAGAAACTCGTTTAAACGTTTAGAATTATCAAAATAGCATCTTTACGATGAGCATTTTAATTTTAATTTTGGGGTGGCTGAGCATTTTAGTGGGAAAATGGAGAATGAAGCGGAATGAAGCTTTATTTAATCTGGGGTTTGATAAGGTTGATTAGACCTCTAGCAAAAATATGCTAATAAGCCGAGAAAAAAAATAAAGAAAGAAAGGGAAATCCAAAAACTTATTTACAGTATAAAGCCTAAAATTACATGAAATAGCTATTTACAATAAAAAGCCTAATTCCATAATAGAGTATAGATATTATTGAGAATTAGCTAGAACCTTAGCTGGGGGACTGCTTTTTTAAAAGCTGACAATGTACTTAAGGATCAGCTAGTGTACCGTAGGAGGGGCGCAGTTTTTGAGTGGAAAAAAAGGCGTGGTGCAGACCTTTGCGCAGTGTGCTAAACTGTGTGAAAAAATTAAGGGGTGCAAGGCGATTGAATTGTGGCACAAGTACAACTGGAAGTGTTACTTGTGCAAGAGGATAGATTTAATCGGACCTTATTTTTGCCTGTTTATAACCAACAAAGCCACCGCATATTTAAAAATTTCTTATCACCTCCGTAGAATGATACGTCGCATAAATTAAAAATCCTTTCACAATTCTTCGAACGTTAGGGGATTACGCAATACGAACAAAAGAAGAGCGATTTTTTCCTATTTAAAAAAACAAAAAGCCACAATTTTTAATTTGCAAGAAACTTTTTAAAAGCCTGAAGACGAGAAGATTTGGACAGCAGAATGGGGAGGAAAAGTTTTTTTCTCCCATGGCACCATAGTTATTAGAGGAGACTGGTTATGAAAAGCGGCAAACATCAATGATAAAAACAACAGTGTTGCAGTTTATGTTCAAAGCACCGTGAAAGTGCACAATCCTTTGTTTTCTGTTGGCAAATTGTTACGGAATAAATTAATGCAACGTTTTTATTGGTCAATACAATCAAAATGATAGGAATTCTTTTGAACGTTGTGCACTTTCAGGTCCACAAAAACATATAACAAAGGAGTCTGACGGGTTTCGTAACCATTCCACTCAATTAACTATGATGGCACGGAGCATTCGAAAGGAGTCACAATGCTGACCAATCCAGCATCGAAGTCTCAAGTATCCATTGTAGAAATAGATCCCCAGAGCGTACAATCTTTTATGTGGTTAATGTATATGCACCAAATGATTACCGCAAACAGGAATAATTTATCAGAATCTTAGGTGACAAACTGGTCTCCAAAACTGACACTACAAAATTAATCATTTTAGGTGACTGGAACGTAACGCCACCCTAAGCAAAATTGATAAATGGGGAGGATTGCCCTGGAAAGAAACCACATACAGAAGCTCCATCATCGACCTGACGGAAGAACTCGATTTACTGGATATTTATGGACAATTCCATGCAGACACCAAATCATTTACGTACGAAACAAAAAATTCAAAGTTGAAATCTAGAATTGACTTTTTTCTCATATCTCGCCCTATTTCACGTAATGTTAAAAGAACCGAGGTGCGCTTTTCTATAGCACCAGACCACAAAGCAATTTTTTTTAGGTATGGAGTTACAAATTGAGCTTAAAAGAGGGCCTGGACGTGGAACTTCAATAATACTTTATCAGAAGATCAAGACTACGCAGATTTAATAAGTTTTATTTACCCTTGGACCCTAGAAAAATACAAAGATGTAGAAAGCAAGCAACTTCTTTGGGAATTGATAAAGATGGAACTTCGAGCCAAGAACATGAGCTACTCTAAGAAAAAAAGAGCTGAGGTTAAAAAACGTGAGATTGTCCTCCGACACAATTTAGATGAACTGGACTATAAAATTTGCTATGAAGCCGATTTAAACCCTCATATCCTAGATCAATATGAAGCAGAGACAAACGAATTGAATTCCTTGTACGAATTAAAAAGTAAAGAGGCAATTTTTAGATCCAAAGTTAAGTGGATAGAACAAGGCGAAAAACCAACGAAGTATTTTTTTAATCTAGAAAAGAACACTATGCAGCGAAAACCTTGCTCAAAATTAAGTTAAATAATGGTGAAATCACTTCGGACATGAAAAAGATAAATAAACAAATAGAGGTGTTTTTTTAGGGAATCATACAAATCCAAGCTTACTGATGTCCCACTGTCTGAACAGGAATTAGGCCTCAATGACTTTATTCAAAACTTGGAAATTCCACGTCTGTCTAACGAGGAACAAGCGACGTTTGACCATGTCTTAACTGTACAAGAAATAAAAAATGTGTTACATGCTTTTGAGAAAAATAAATTTCTGGTGAAGACGGTTTCACCAAAGAGTTCTATGAAAGTTTCTTTGACCTTTTAAAACAGAATCTAATTGATTCTTATAGTGAAGCTTTTCAGAAAGGCAGTCTCTCAGTATCCCAGAGAAGAGGAATAATTTCTTTAATTCCAAAAAATGATAGCGACCTGTCGGAGCTTACTGGATGGCGCCCAATAACGTTGCTTACGGTTGATTACAAAATCCTGGCCAAGTGTATTGCAAAACGTATAGAACCTTTCCTTCCCAAACTAATACATTCGGACCAAAAAGGATTTAAATGAAGGACAGATTTATTGGCCAAAATGTAAGACTTTTGAATGATCTTATGGAATACACGGATGTGAAGAAGATCTCAGGAATTTTTCTTTTTATCGACTTTGAAAAAGCATTCGATTCCATAGAGTTGAACTTTATGAAAAGAAGCTTAGAATTATTTAATTTGGGGCCATTCTTAACAAGATGGTTCTCAATTCTTTACAGTAATTCCGAGGCAGCATTGATGAACGCTGGTTACATGACAGATTACTTCACTGTATCAAGAAGAGTTCGTCAAGGGTACCCGCTGAGTCCATTCCTCTTTATATTTATACTGTATATTATGTTTTGAGGATTGGCTCCTCAAAACATAAAAAAAACAAAATATTGGAATTTCACAGTATATAAGACCCCATTAAAATACTCGGGGCGCACTTGTCGTATAACGCAGACAATGACAACGATGCAAACTTCTTCAGCAAGATTCGTAAAATGAAAACTAAACTGAACCTCTGGCAAACGCGTGACCTTACGCTTTTTGGCAAATCCGGATCCGTTCTAGCCAAAACGCTTGGTGTCTCTCAGTTAATCTACCCTGCTTCACTAATGACTGTCCCTGATGCATTAACACGCGCGGCTCAAAGCCTCCTGTTCTCGTTTTTGTGGAAAAATAAGAAAGATAAAATTAATTGTTCATTTATCTTTGCCTGAATGCAGCGAAGCGTAATGAAACAAAAGATAAATGGTTTCTTGAATTCCCAAGCACAGGTGCATTCGTCGGCAGTGTGTTTTAAGTGCCGGCATGAGATTATGAGAAGAAAGTGTGATATGTAAAGTAGCAAGTATTTATTCGCTGAACAGTAAACAAGTTTCATTGTGGATTTTTACAAGCGGACAGTTAAATTCTTAGCTCGTTCTTGCTATCTCGTCCACATGGCGCGGGGCCGTCGTGGTCGCCCGGCTTCAGTTCGTTCTCGTGTTTCGAGAGTCAACGCGGACATTGAAGACCCTGTTGTCCGGCCGTCCAGGTCAAGAGAACATCGAAGTTCAGGCCGTCGTAGTTCTCGCTCACACGTTGCAGCTTCAAGCGGTTCTGGTCGTAGTTCTTCGCCTTCGCGAAGGAGTGTCCGCGAGCGTTCGCACCGTAGAAGTCGCTCGGCTTCTCGCAGCCCTGAGCCCCCAACGTGGGCGAAGGAAATCTTAAAGGCCTTGGAGACGAAAACGGAAGAGGTCAAGGTTGTCAAGGAACAGCTCGACTCATTAAAACGCAAGTCTGCGGAGGAGGAGCCCGAGTTCAAATATAAGAGTAACAAGAAACAGTTCAAGTTCAACACTGACGTCAAGGATAAGTTCAACCAGATTTTAGAGAGGGCTGGGGCGGATGACGCCATCACTAAGATTGCCAACGAAGGTATGTCACTCCTTGATAACAGAAATAAGCTTATTTCTATTGCTGACCGGGATGGCTAGAATATTTTGAGGCGGACCCACTCACTAAAAATGACGAAGAAGAAAAGAAACTTCGTGTCGCCCGCAAGGAAGCAGAGAGGTCTCGGGAGAAACGAAATCGCAAAAATAGTCTGAGAAGCAAAATGGGAACTCGTTTTAAGTCTCAGTCTACATCTTCCAAAAGCGGCCCCAGTGTAAATTTTGGCCCGTCACATAGAATCGTGGATTTCCGCCCGGATGTCGGTCAGCTTTTGGTTAATCCTGTACCGGAGAAAAAAGCTTCTGTTTATCGCTGCTTTGGTTGCGGCAAAGCAGGCCATTTCATCAAGGATTGTAAAGTTTCCTCTTTCGCTAAATGACTAGCTGACTCTGATTTTGACGAATTTTTGGAACGCGGCGAGGCTGAACTTGACACGGGCGTTTCCTCAGTATTTTGGATTCGAGGCCGCTT